GACAGAGCAAAAAATACAAACTATATGAATCCACTTATATAAACAGGAAAATCAATAGGATAGAAGTCGGAATAGTGGTTGCTGGTTGGAGAGGTGTGTGGATTGACTGGAAAGGGGAAAAATAAAATGTGTGGGGAGAGGAGTGATAGAAATATTATAGATCTTGGCTGGGCATGGTGATTCACCCCCTGTAATCCCAACACTTCAGGAGGTTGAGGCAGGCAGATTGCTTGAGGCTAGGAGTTTGAGACCATCCTGGCCAACATGGTGAAATCCCATCTCTACTGAAAATACAGAAATTAGCCTGACGTGCTGACAGGCACCTGTACTCCCAGCTACTCAGGAGGTTGAGATAGGAGGACCACTTGAGCCTGGGAGGCAGAAGTTGCAGTGAGCTGAGATCGCACCACTGCACTCCAGCCTGGGTGACAGAGCAAGACTCCATCTCAAAAAAAAAAAAAAAAAAAAAAGCCTAGATCTGTTTGGGGTGATAGTAACAATCGTATAAAATTATCAGAACTCGGCTGGGCATGGTGGCTCACTCCTGGGAGCTGGGGCAATTGGATCACCTGAGGTCAGGAGTTCAAGATAAGCCTGACCAACATGATAAAACCCCATCTCTACTAAAAATACAAAAAATCAGCTGAGCGTGGTGGCAGGCTGCTGTAATTCCAGCTACTTGGGAGGCCAAGGCAAGAGAATTGCTTGAACCCAGGAGGCAGAGTTTGTGGTCAGCCAAGATTTTGCATTGTACTCCCGCCTGGGCGACAGAGCGAGACTCTGTCTCAAAAAAGAAAAAAAAAAGCCCGGAACTCATCAAACTGAAAACTTAAGATAGGTACAATTTATTGTATGTAAACTAGAACTCAGTATTGTCATTTTTAAAAGTCAGGAGGAAGCCAACAGTGTGGCTCACGCCTGAATCCCCAGCAATTTGGGAGGTCGAGGCAAGAGGATCACTTGAGTCCAGGAGTTTCAGACCATGGGCAACATGCCAAAACCCCATCTCTACCAAAAGAAAAAAAAAAATCTGTCTGGTGTGGTGGCTCATGCCAGTAGTCCCAGCTACTGGAGGGCTGAGGTGGGAGGATCACTTGAGCCCTGGTGGTCGAGGATGCAGTGAACCGTGATGACACCACTGCACCCCAGTCTGGGTGACAGAGTGAGACCCTGTCTCAAAAAATATATGTATATATATATATATAGGGGTCCCTGGGGCAGCCTGAGTCTAGAGAGTAAGGACCCCACCTTCTACCTCTTGCAATATATCTAAAAAGAGACTTGCATTTAGAATACATGAAGAATGCTTACAACTCAATAATAAAAAGACAAATAATCCACTTAAAAATGCACAAAGTATCTGAATAGAAATCTCTCCAAAGATTTACAAATGGCCACCCTTCACTGCTTCTGCTTTGCTTCCAACAGCAGGACCTCCTATAGACCACTTGGGGGCGCCCACGCCCGCAGAGCTAGTTCTCCACGAGCTAGGTGGCTCTGTCCACAGCTGGAAGTGCTGGGCACTAGGCAGCCCGCTGGGCACGAGGCAGCCCGCTGGCCTGCACACAAGCCAATTTCATTGCCACCTCTTGCAGCTTAGCCGGGAGATCTTAACGTGGAATTCAGAACACCCCACTTCTTACTGGTTGAGTTAAAACAGGAGTAGTGGGCTGGGCGCAGTGGCTCACACCTGTAATCCCAGGACTTTGGGAGGCCTAGGTGTGTGGATCACTTGAGCCCAAGAGTTTGAGATCAGACTAGGCAACATGGCAAAAACCCACCTCTACTGAAAGTACAAAAATTAGCTGGACATGGTGGTGCATGCCTCTAGTCCCAGCTACTCAAGAGGCTGAAGGGGGAGGATCACTTGAGCTGGGAAGGTCAAGGCTGCAGTGAGCCATGATTGTGCCACTGAACTTAAGCCTGGGCAACAGAGTAAGACTCTATCTCAAAAAACACAAAACGACAGCAACAAAAAAACACAGGAACAGTGTGGCCAGGAGTGCCCATTCAAATCTGCTCCAAGTGACTGCTCAGAAAGAAAAACCCCCTCCACAAGTCCCAGCCTTGGCCTGGCCATGGTGAGCACTAACCCCAGGCACTGACCAAGCCCCTGGATACCAAATCCGCAGGACGTATTCCAGTTCTTGCCCCACTATCCACTTGGATACAGTGCAAAGCCAGCCTTGCTTCTACTTCCGCCATTTCTCTTCCTTTTGACACCCTCTGCCCTGGCAATGTTGCCCCTTCTCAAGTCCTCAGCTACCTCCCCAGTGCTGCGTGTTCCCAAAGCCCTGTCTCTGGTCTGGATTCTCTTCTGCACTCCAGCCCATCCCGAACCAGAAACCTAGATCTTTTCCCTATGTCTGTACCTCCTCCTATGACCCTTCCCCCAAAGATGGCCCTATCATAGTAATAAGACATGGGTGTATCATGTACCTCCTGATAGAATTCACTGATCTCTGTAATATTTGTGCATAAAATGTGTAATCTCAATCTTTTTTTTTTTTCAGACAGAGTCTTGCTCTGTTGCCCAGGCTGGAATGCAGTGGCACAATATCGGCTCACTGCAACCTCCGCCTCCCGGGTTCAAGTGATTCTCCTGCCTTAGCCTCCTGAGTAGCTGAGATTACAGGCACCCGCCACCATGCCTGGCTAATTTTTGTATTTTTAGTAGAGACGGGGTTTCACTCTGTTGGCCAGGCTGGTCTCAAACTCCTGAACTCAAGTGATCTGCCTGCCTCAGCCTCCCACATGAGAGGGAGAAAACATGATGAGATGTACTCGACTACAACTCATGAGAAAACATCAAACTCCAGTGGAGGGACATTCTGCAGAATAACCCATCAGTGCTCTTCGAAAACAACTGTATCAGCCCTTAATTACCCATGCCAGCCTCCTGGAAGTTAAGTCCTTTCAAATCTGCTTCCCTATTTCTTTGGAGTCAATCCTCCTTTTTCCGCCTCTCCATATCCACAACCCTATTCCATCATCTCTCACCTATGTGACTACAGCATCTTCCCAAGAGAATCACATCCTCCAGTCTTTCCCTACCTGACAGCCACCCAATCATTCTCCAAGCAGCTGAAGGAACCTTAACCATGTCACACCCCAACTCAGGCCCCTCCTAAGGCTCCCCACAGCTCCTAAGGACACATGCCCTTTCCCTAGCTTGGCTCTCAGCCCTCTTGGTCTCAGCCATGGCCACTTCTCCAGCATCTTACCCACACCCTCCCGGACAAGCACTCCAGCCCCCCAGAACTGCCTGCAGATCTATGTATTTGGATTCTCTTTTACCTCCTTGCTTTTGCTCATGTGGTTCCTTCTGTCCAGAACACCTCTCTTCCCATCACCTGACTCCCATCTTTGTCCCTTTGTCCAGAAATGTTTACTCTTCTAAGGTCTAGGGTCCAGAAAACCCTTTCCAGTACAGGCTGCTCTTTACTCTCATCCAGTACAGATGCTCCAGGAGGCAGGAGAAGCACCCCATGGCCACTGCCCTCAGGCACACCATGACCTGTTTCTTTTTCGTTGTCGTTAAGACTGAAGTGCAGTGATGCGATCTTGGCTCATTGCAGCCTCTGCCTCCCAGGTTCATGTGATTCTCGTGCCTCAGCCTCCCAAGTAGTTGGGATTACAGGCGTGCGCTGCCACGCCTGGCTAATTCTTGTATTAATAGTAGAGACAGGGTTTTGCCATGTTGGCCAGGCTTGTCTTGAACTCCTGACTTTAGGGGATCCACATGCCTTAGTTCCCCAAGTGCTGGGATTACAGGCGTGAGCCACTGCACCCGACCTGCCTCCCATTGTTTCTGACAACAGCTGGGATTTTGCTCGTGTTTTTCCTTTGGCTGGCTGATTCCTTCTCATTCTTTGAGTGCCCACATACATCTCACATGCTTTGAACACCTCCCTACCTCTGCTTGGTCTCAGTTCCCTTCCTCCCTGCCACCCAGTGCTGTATTGTTACCTCGGTTCCTGACTCCACATGACACTGTGAGCTCAGGGGCAGGAGGGAGGGTCGGGCCCACCATGATGGTATTGCTCACCACCACCCCAATTCCAGTATCAGGGAAAGGAGTCCTTGGCTGAGTGATGTGTCATAAATGTTTAACAACCAGCTCTTTAGGGGAAAATGTGTGTGTTTGTGTGTTTACATATACATATATAAAATTGTGCAAATATATTTACTATAAATTTTACTGATAGAAAGGATGGTTAACACAGAAGTTACACAACTTCCTTTATTGTAAATTCCATAAAACCAACTGATTCTCACAGAATGCTGTCACTGGTTTTTGCTGAACTCACATCTATGATTGCAGTTGATGAATGAATATAGGTAATTCATAAAACAATAACTCAGTGGGCCAGGCACTTTTGGGATGCCAAGGTGGATCACAAGGTCAGGAGTTTGAGACCAGCCAAACCAACCCCGTCTCTACTAAAAATACACACACACAAAATTATCTGGGTGTGGCGACACACACCTGTAACCCCAGCTACTCAGGAGGCTGAGGCAGGAGAATCACTTGAACCCGGGAGGTGGAGGTTGCAGTGAGCTGAGATCATGCCACTGCACTCAAGCTTGGGCAACAGAGTGAGAATCCATCTCAAAAATAATAATAATAATAATGCAGTAACTCAAGCTCTGTATCTGTAGTGTTGGCTAATTTCTCTGGTGTAAATATGTCCACCACGGCTGATTTCGAGTTAATAACATGATGCTACTGAATGCAGAGTTGGGCAGAGATGCACCATTGTGTACCATTGTGTAGTTACGTAGTATTTCAACCATATAGATGCAAGAAACAGAAGTAACTCCAGGAGCATGAATAGTGTAAGATGTAGAAAAGTTATTAGAAAGTGGTGTGTTTTGAATATTAATTACCTTTGTTTTAATATACTTAATTGTAAGTTTATATAATTACTTTTTCTTCAACAGCTGGTAATCAATTTATTAAAATCGTTGACTTAAGCATCTGCAATGGTGACTTCCACTTAAACTCCTGGCTCAATACAGATGGAAGTAATCTGCTTAAGAATCTCAGAAGGACTGTGCAAGTCTGTGAGTTGCTTGTAGATTCTCATCTGGAAGCCATCCCATGTCTTAGAACCTCTACCACAAGGAGTTTTTCTTGTAGTGATTCTCAGAGTCTTGGTGGGCATTTGAACTGGTCCTTTCAGTTTGAGATTCTTCTCCTTTGCTCCTCTGATCAAGTCAGCACGCACCTTCTCCAGGGATTTTATCGTTCGGCTCATTAGAGGGATTTGAATTTGGTGAATTGCCACCTCCAGCTCCACAGGTGTTTGTCCAGTATCCTTAAAAGCCATGGCTGCTGCCTGGCTTCCTAACCAACAGGTTCCTCGGCTGAATCGATCCTCCCACCTCAGCCTCCCGAGTAGCTGGGATTTCAGGCGCCCACCACCACATCCGGCTAATTTTGTTTTTTCGTTATTGTTACTGTTTTTGTTGTTGTTGTTGTTGTAGAGGTGGCGTTTCACCATGTTGCCCAGGCAGGTCTCAGACTCGTGGGCTCACGTGATCTGCTTGTCTTGGCCTCTCAAAGTGCCAGGATTACCAACATATGCCATTGCGCCCAGCCTTTGTAATTGCATTTTAATAATGGCAATGCATAACAACCAGCCCGCAAAATTGGAAACTTAACAATTGGTTCCCTGAGCCAAGCTTCTAGCACACCACTGCTTGGACACCTGCCCCCAATTTCCTCTCCAAGCCCAATCTTCCTGACAGTCTAGGAGACTTCTGAGTTCATCTTGGAGACTTCTGAGTTTATTGGATGACTCATCCAATACCTGGGGTTTGTGGTTCCTCCTCAACTCTGGGGACCTTTGTCTCTTCTTCAGTAACCCACCTGCTCCCCTGGCCTCATCGGAGGTTTTGTCATCACCAAAAACTGTTTCACCCTTCCTGAATCACACCTTCCTCTCTTGCTTCTGGGCTACAGCGTCCTCTTCTTTCAGCCCCATGCATGTCCTCTGCCTTGAAGAACACAGCTACCTGACCCCTCACTTAGTTTCTGTTTGTTATTGGCTTTCTCCTGATCCCTGGAAGGTCCCTCCTCCCTGCCTTCCTTCTACTGGATTGACATTCGAGCCTTTCACCCAGGTATATAGTAGTTGCACACTAAAGCAATTCACATTTACTATTATTTCAGTAGGAGCTTTCTTATCTGACGCAATTGAGACCAGAAGTTGGTCAATTGAACAAAAAAACAGTAAGTTTAAAGGATCGTTAAAAGTGATATGTGGGCTTGTCCGAGTGCAGTGGTGTTTACAAGCAATTGATTACAACTAGTTACAGATTTCTTTTTTTTTTTTTTTTGAGACAGGGTCTCACTCTGTCACCTAGGCTGGAGTGCAGTGGCATGATCTTGGCTTACTACCGCCTCCACCTCCCAGGGTCAAATGATTCCTCTTCCTCAGCCTCCTGAGTAGCTGGGACTACAGGCACGTGCCACCACGCCCAGCTAATTTTTGTATTTTTAGTAGAGAAGGGGTTTCACCATGTTGGCCAGAATGGTCTTGATCTCTTGACTTCATGATCCACCTGCCTCAGCCTCCCAAAGTGCTGGGATTACAGGTGTGAGCCACTGCGCCCAGCCTAATTATAGATTTCTTTGTTTCTTTTCTCCACTCCCACTGCCTCACTTGACTGGCCTAAAAAAAAGTAATATGTATTTGTGCATTTTTTTTTTTTGAGATGGAGTTTCGCTGTTGTTACCCAGACTGGAGTGCAATGGCACGATCTCGGCTCACCACAACCTCCGCCTTCTGGGTTCAAGCAATTCTCCTGCCTCAGCCTCCCGAGTAGCTGGGACTACAGGCATGCACCACCAGGCCCAGCTAATTTTTGTATTTTTAGTAGAGATGGGGTTTCACGTTGTTGACCAGGATGGTCTCGATCTCTTGACCTTGTGATCCACCCGCCTCGGCCTCCCAAAGTGCTGGGATTATAGGCGTGAGCCACCATGCCCGGCCTTGTACATTTTGTTTTAAGGTAAAACATAAATATATATTAACTTGCCAGTCTGTCAATGTGATGCCAAGGCTCTTTGAGTATGGGTTTGCTGATTGGAATTCCATTTCTTTCTTTCCTTTTTTTTTTGGAGAGGATCTCACTCTGTCGCCCAGGCTGAAGTGGCAGGACTAGGCCTAACGGCAGCCTCAAACTCCCAGGCTCAAGTGATCCTCCCACCTCTGCATCCTGAGTAGCTAAGCCTACAGGTGCCGCCACCACACCTGGCAAAGTTTTCATTTTATTTTATTAAAAAAAAAATTTTTTTAAAGATGGGGTTTCACCATGTTGGTCAGGCTGGTCTTGAACTCCCGACCTCAGATGATCCTCCCGCCTTGGCCTCCAAAGTGCTTGGATTACAGGCGAGAGCCATCACGCCCGGCCAAATTTTATTTTTTGTAGAGAAGAGGTCTCACTCCAGAGTCTCGAACTACTGGGCTCAAGCAATCCTCCTGTCTTGGCCTCCCAAAGTGCTGAAATTACAGACACGAGCCACTGCACTGGGTCTTTTTTTTTTTTTTTCCTTGAGATGGGGTCTCGTTCTGTCACCCAGGCTGGAGCGCAGTGGTGCGATCATAGCTCACTGCAGTCTCAAACTCCTAGGTTCAACTAACCCCCCTGCCTCAGCATCCTGGCATATTTCTTTTCTTGCATAACAATATCCATACAAACTGTCTAGATTTCCACATTCTATAAAGTGCCTAAGAGCTTTAGGATTCTTGCAAAGCAAGATTGAGAACGAGCTTGAAGAACACCATTTCCCAGCCCTCACATGGTCTCTTCATCAGCATCGTCCCTCCTCCCTCCCTTCCTTTTCCATCTACTGGATCTACACTGAAAATCCAGTTTGAGTGCAGACTTTATAACGTTTCCCCAAACTTTTCCAGCAGTCTCTCCAAACCAAATAGCTATTTTGTAAGTTTTTATGTTTTAATTTTTTTTTTTTTTTTTTGAGATGGAGTCTCGCTCTGTCACCCAGGCTGGAGTGCAGTGGTGTGATCTAGGCTCACCAAAACCTCCACCTCTTGAGGTCGAGCGATTCCCCCGCCTCAGCCTCCTGAGTAGCTGGGATTACAGGCACCTGCCACCACCCCCAGCTAATTTTTGTTTTTGTTATTTGAGACAGAGTCTTGCTCTGTCACCCAGGCTGGACTGCAGTGGCGCTATCTTGGCTCACTGCAACCTCCACCTCCCAGGCTCAAGTGACTCTCCAGCCTCAGTCCCCCAACTAGCTGGGATTACAAGCACCTGCCACCACACCTGGCTAATTTTGTATTTTTAGTAGAGACGGGGTTTCATCAGGTTGGCCAGGCTGGTCTCGAACGCCTGACCTCAAGCAATTCTCCCACCTTGGCCTCCCAAAGTGCCGGGATTAAAGGCATGAACCACCTCACCCAACCATTTTTTAATTTTTTTCTTTTTTCTTTATTTTTATTTTATCACGGGGAAGGATTTAACCATGTTTTATTTTTTAATTATTTTTTACAATACATACTGACATTCAGTTTTTAATTTTCTTTATTAATTTATTTATTTTGAGATGGGGTCTCTGTTGCCCAGGCTGTAGTGCAGTGGTGAGATTACAGTTCATTGCAGCCTCAACCTCCTGGGCCCAAGTGATCCTCCCACCTCAGCCTCCTAAGTAGCTGGGACTACAAGAATGCACTACCATACCCAGCTAGTTTCTTATTTGTTTTTGGAAAGATGGAGTCTTGCTATGTTGCCCAGACAGGTCCCGAAGTCCTCAAGGGATACTACTGCCTTAGCCTCCCAAAGTGCTGGGATTACACGCACAAGCCATGGTACCCAGCCCAGTATTTTAATCGTGGTTTATATATATGTCTTACCATTTTTATTTATTTTATTTTATTTTTATTTTTTTGAGATGGAGTCTGACTCTGTCCCTAGACCAGAGTGCAATGGTGCAATCTTGGCTCACTGCAACCTCCACCTCCTCATTCTCCTGCCTTAGCCTCTCGAGTAGCTGGGATTACAGATGCGTGCCACCAAGCCCGCTGATTTTTGTATTTTAGTAGAGATGGGGTTTCACCAGGTTGGCCAGGCTGGTCTCAAATTCCTGACCTCAGGTGATGTGCCTGCCTCAGCCTCCCAAAGTGCTGGGATTATAGGTGTGTGCCCGGCCTATTTTTATTTTATTTTTGAGACAGGGTCTCGCTGTTGTTGCCCAGGCTGGAGTGTAGAGGCATTATCATGGTTCACTGCAGGTTGCCCAGGCTGGTCTCAAACTCCCGAGCTCCTGAGCCTTCCTCAGCCTTCCAAAATGCCGAGATTACAGGTGTGCACCACCACACTTGGCCAGACTTACCATCTTAACCATTTTGAAATGTATGCTTCAGTGGTATTCAGTATATTCACATGGTTGTACAACAGATCTCCACAACCTTTTTATCCTGCAAAACTGAATCTCCGTATCCATTACGCAAGTCCCCATTTCTCCCTCCCTCCAGTCCCTGTAACCACTGCCGCCCAGGCTGGAGTGCAGCAGCACAGTCACAGCTCGCTGCAACTGGAATCTGCTGGCTCAAGTGAGCCTCTCACCCCAGCCTCCCAAGAAGCTGGGACTACATGCTTGCTCCACCATGCCTAGCTAATTTTTGTATTTTTTGTGGAGACAGTGTTTTGCCATGTTGCCCAAGCTGGAGTTGAACTCCTGATTTTAAGCGATCTGCCCTCCTTGGTCTCTCAAAGTCTTAGGATTACAGGCAGGGGTCATCACACCTGACCTTATTTGTGTTTTTGTAAACAGCTTTTTTTTTTTCTTTTAAGCAACTACCCTTTCCATTTTTTTTTTGAGACAGGGTCTCACTCTGTTGCCCAGGCTGGAGTGCAGTGGCACAATCTCGGCCCACACCTCCCAGGTTCAAGCAATTCTCCTGCCTCAGCCTCCCGAGTAGCTGGGACTACAGGCATGTGCCACCGTGCCCGGCTAATTTTTGTATTTTTAGTAGAGACGGGGTTTCACTGTGTTGGCCAGGCTGGTCTCAAACTCCTGACCTTGTGGTCCCCCTGCCTCAGCCTCCCAAAGTGCTGGGATTACAGGTGTGAGCCACTGCACCCGGAACAACCACCCTTTTCAAAAGTTTCTAAAGTGGTCAACTTGGTTTTCATAGAAATAACAACTCAATTTCTTTCTGTATTCATATTTCTATGGTTTAGTTATGGCTTTGTTAAATTATGTAATTACAAAAACACGTGCAACCGGCATAAACAGATTTGGGGATATGTTAGTCCAGGTCCTCAGAGAAGGTGGGATCCCAAGATAAAATGAAATATGCAAGATATTTATTAGGGGAACCATCTGTTAGAGAAAACGAGGAGGGGCTGGGCATGGTGGCTCACAGCTGTATTCCCAACACTGAGAGGCTGAGGCAGGATTGCTTGAGGCAGAAGTTCCATATTAGCCTGGGCAACATAGCCAGATCCAATTTCCATTTTTTAAATTAATTAATCTATTT